GGGAGAGGGAGAGGGAGGGAGAGAGAGAGAGAGAGAGAGAGAGAGAGAGAGAGAGAGAGAGAGAGAGAGAGAGAGAGAGAGAGAGAGAGAAGAGAGAGAGGAGAGAGAGAGAGAGAGAGAGAGAGAGAGAGAGAGAAGAGAGAGAGAGAGAGAGAGAGAGAGAGAGAGAGAGAGAGAGAGAGAGAGAGAGAGAGAGAGAGAGAGAGAGAGAGAGAGAGAGCACTTACCTTGGACGTCAAAATAGTAGTAGATATAGGAGACTGACCTTTCTTTGGCATTTTCTTTTATTCGTTCAAATGTTAGTAATGTACGAGGTATGGGAGAAAGGAACAGGTAGAGAATTGAAGAAGGGGAAAAAGAGAAGAGAGAGAGAGAGAGAGAGAGAGAGAGAGAGAGAGAGAGAGAGAGAGAGAGAGAGAGAGAGAGAGAGAGGGAGGGAGGGGGGAGATGAAATTAGTGGATGAGGATTATGTATATACGTCTCTTCAGATAGTAAGACACACAGCAAGCCCGAGGGAAGGGAGGTGGTGGTGTATGTGTATGCGTATGTGCGCATGTGTGTGTGCGCGTGCGCGAGTGTGCGTGTATATCTGTATTTATGTATGCATGTATGTATGTATGTATATATTATATATATTTGTGTATTATATATATATATAATTATATATATTATATATATATAATATTATTATATGTTATATATAATTATATATAATATTATTATATATTATATATACTTATATATACTTATATATAACTATAAACACATTTACATATATATGTATTTATATATATACATACATACATACATACATACATACATATATATATATATATATATATATATATATATATATATATATATATATATATATATATATAATACACATATATGTGCATACACATATATATAAAGAAAGAAGAAAGACCAGGCAGAGAAAGGGAGGCACCCGTGCAACCCGGACCTGGGCTAACCCGAACTCGGCACCATTTCGGGTCCCTCGGACATTAATCGCCATGACAGAGCCGATATTAGCGACCACCCCTCCCTCTCCCCATACATACCCGCCCCTAAGCCGAGCCTTCCTCCTTACCTTGCTTTATCTATATTCTTCTCTCCTTATTCCATCCCTTTCCTGTTATTTTCCTTATCCTTTCTGATTTCTCCTTCCCATGTGTTCCTCTCTTCTCTACTATTATTTTTCTTTTCTGTTCTATCCTTCTCTCCTTCATTCCTGCAACCCCCCCCCACCTTCCCCCTCAGCATCCTAGGGCAACAAAAGGATGCGTAGGATGACTTGCCTCTTTTCTGCAATATACCCCCCACTGCTCTCTCCTTCCCCTTCCTCCTCCTCCTCCTTCCTCTTCCCCTGTTCACCTTTCTCCTTCCCCTACCCCCTTCCTCCATCCTTCCCTCTCTTTCCCTTCCCCCGTTCACGTGTCCCCTACCCCTTTCCCCTTATCCCTACACCCCTCCCCCACCCCTACCCTGCAACACGGGACCCACGCCCATCCAGTCAATATCAATTAAATTCGCCGAGATTTCAAAACTCTCGTTTCTTCTTTTGTTTTCACTTCTTAGAGAAATTCCCGCGCGCGGCAAAATGCTTCTCCGTTCGTGCGTAGACGAGTAAATTTCTCTAATGACTGTTGTAGTCATTTTTCTTTTCCTTTTTCGGTACTTCTTATTTGAGTTTCTCTTTTTTTTCACCGTCGTTTTTTGAATTTTGCTTTTGGATGTGTGTTCTGATTTTACTTTTCTGTGTGTGTGTGTGTGTGTGTGTGTGTGTGTGTGTGTGTGTGTGTGTGTGTGTGTGTGTGTGTGTGTGTGTGTGTGTGTGTGTGTGTGCGCGCATGTGTGTGCGTCCGTGTGTGTGCATATATATGTACATGCATACACACTTACATATATGCCTTACAACGAGTTAAGTACAAACCTATAATAAATAAATATACAGATAAATTTTAAAAAACAGATCACCACGCGCCCTCCGCCTATGAATAAATTATCGACAAGTATCAATAACTTCATCATGGCGAGTCTCCGTCGCCTCAGGAATGTAGGGCACCGGTAACCCTCTCTACCTCTCTTCTTCCTCTTCTTCTTCTTCGTCGTCGCCAGATCGAATTAGTAAGCGGGGAGCGAAGGTCGTGTAATGATCTCGGCGCCACAAATAAAAAAAGAGAGAGAAAAAAAACTTGGGGAAGAGAGAGAGAGAGAGAGAGAGAGAAAAAAAAAGGGAACAAGTTTGTGGGATGCATAATTACACATAAGCGCTTCGGGTAACTTTCTAACGTCCTTTAAAACCTTGAGAGTGTTTACGAATTTTCCCTTTTTTTATTGTTGTCATTATTATAATTATCACTGCTATTGTAATCATTATGTTATCTCTTACATCATAAGAGATTAAGGTTAAAAATCTCGAGGACATAATATGGACACCGAGATTTACCGGATATAAACAAAAGTTCTAGGTCAGTATCATAATATACATGTTTCTTAAAGCGCGTCCTTTGTTTTAGTCTCTGTGTCTATTATCTCCTTAATGGATGGTGAAGGCAGATGATTAAAGACTCGAAAAAAAGAGAAAAAAAGAAAAAGGAAGACGAATGCTATAAAGGGGCCGGTTTTAATATGGCGCCCTAAATGTAAAGGGAAAAATTTCACTCGTTATTTATATTTCCGGCTGTCGATCGCGACGACTACTTCTTTCTTTGTTTAATAAACGTCTATTTTTTTCGGTTCGTTTGCAGATGATGATTTTAGAAGCGCTTAATAAATGTCGCAAAAAAAATAAAACAGTTTGCTTGTTTTTTCTTCCAGATGTGATTAATCTCATTAATAACTTTCTAAATGGATTATGTCCAGATTATATCCTAAATACCGATATGGTCCCCCTTTAACGAAAAAAAAATATTTATGAGACTCAAATAATGATATAAATAGACAAAAAATATAATAACGACCAAATGAAAAAAGAAAAAACGCAAAAAAAAAAAACATTGAGAGAGAAAAAAGGGAATTTGAAATTTTAACGACTTTGTTGTCAGGAAATAAAATAAAAAAAAAAGATTACCAAAGATATAATATCAAAGTTACAATAATGAACTCGAAATAAACAAATATGGAATGAGGTGCTGTTGATGAATATGAAACAGATAAACAAATTAAAATAAACAGATAAAAAAATGTATATCGACAACAGTATAATCAATCGTAGAGAAAATATATCATTCAAGAAACTAATCTTAAGAAATTAAGTACAACAAATACTTAAAACTTAAATCAACAAAGACAATTTCACAGAGAAAGAGAAAACAAAGAAAAATAAAAGGAAAACTATTTTGAGAACAATCTAACAGATCAAATTAATTGGAACAGATTGTACCTATGATATCTATCTATTTATCTAAGTCTATCTAACTTTAGAAGCAAAATATTGGCACAGAGACCTAGCGGCGAGCGTCTGTGTACACGTTTTTCCACAGTCACTTGTTCCAACAAATTTTCGTGTCTTTGAGAACAAGAACACGGGACGGAGGAATGTGATGTGTGTTCTTAACGGCTTTTGTTCTGGACTAAAGATCATGGTGTTTTATATATCTATATATATATATATTTTGTGACTTTAGTTGTTTTTTGTTTTCTTTTTTTCGTGATTTTCTTTTTTTATGGCCGCGTTCATATCATTTATAACTATCCAATGATAATAATAATAATTATATTAATAATAATAATAATAATAATGATGATAATAATAATAATAATGATGATAATAATAATAATAATGATGATAATAATAATAATAATGATGATAATAATAATAATAATGATGATAATAATAATAATAATGATGATAATAATAATAATAATAATAACAATAATAATAATGATAATGATAATAATACTAATAATAATAGATAATAATAATAAATAATAATAATAATAATTACACTATTAGACCTTGTACCTTCGTCCCTTGTTAACGGTCTTGGATAATGATTCCTCTTAATCGTTTAGTTGTTGTCTTTGTTTGTTTGTTTTCTTTCACCCCAGTGCGTTTCCGGAGGATGTGGTGTCATCAAGCGCGGTCAGTGAGCGGTTTCGGAAGCTTACTTTCTCCTCCTTAACCTTCTTTTTTTTTAAAGCATTTTAGGTTCGCATCCTCTTTCGCATAATGTTTGGATGGTCTTGATTTCGGGGGGTGGGGGGTGGGGGGTGGGGTGGGGTATTTGGTTTGTTTTTGAATACGTTTATTTCTTGCGTTGTTTTTTTTTGTTTTGTTTTTTTTTGTCTTTTTCCTCTTATCTTTGACTCTCACACCCTTCTTCATTTGTTTCTTTCTTTGCTCTCCCTTCCTCTTATTTTTCAGCTTTTTGTTTCTTACAAGACATGGACTTTGCTCCCAACGTTTATATTAACTCACAAAAAAATAAATGAATAAATAAATAAATAATTAAATAAACAAACAAATAAAATAAATAACGAATAGACACGCAAATGACAACACGAAAGCTGTGTTATTGTCGGGTTACGTTACCGTGTAGCTTGACCTTGTGCATGTAGTGACGAACTAGTGACGTCTTACTGTCGAGTTACGTAACGGCACAACGTCGAGTAATAATATTAACGTTAAAACATAACCTAATATAATTCACAGTCACGATTTTGTCTTTTACGACTTTGTTAATGTTATGTTGTGGTCTTTATAATACACGTTAATTCCAGACACAACATCATACATAAAGAACATACTATCAGACACATCGCAGCGAGAAAGAAAAACACTTAATTTCGTGACTTTTCGACTCGATATGAACTCCACTTCAGGTGCTCGTAGCAAAGATTTTTAACGAAAGATGAAAATCGTGTAATATTTTCTCCGAAATCAAACAGCAACACAATATCTTTATACATACGACGTTACCATACGGACTCACGCCCATACTACATTGTGGGCATGAGTATACGAGCGTACTGAGTGGGGCGTGTAACATACCCTTCCCTGGTGAGAGAGCTGGGCGGCAGGAGGATGGCCGAGCGCGCTTCTGGAGTCAGCATTTCGGGCGTGGATTCTTCCGTCTCTTCCGAAGGAGCGGCGAGGGATGCTGAGGCTGAGGGAGAGAAGAAGAGAGAGAGGTTGTTGAGTGAACGGCTGGAGTGACCTTTAGGGAGGGAGTTGTCAATGAACAGGGAGCGAGTGTGGGTCGTGAAATGTGGAGGGCGGGTCCGTAGACTTAGTGGAATGTGAGAGATACAGGTGCACACATGTATACACACACACACACACACATATATACATATATACATATATATATATATATATATATATATATATATATATATATATATATATATATGCATATATATGTATATATACATATGCATATATATGTACATATGTATATATACACTTCTATGTAAGCGGATATTTTCAGTGTATCCATAGCTTATTATAAAGGAACAGATATACATAAATACACACACAGAAACAAATATACTTATACACAATATATACTCAATATAACACATATGGCAATTTATACCTTAGCGAACACATGTACACATACAAACATACATCCCTACACATCGCCCAAACCACACACAAACAGACACACACAGCACTGACTGGCGCGCATCAATCAACGCGTCCCCGTAGTAAGCCGCTAGAGCTGACCTCTTTACTGCCACCCTCTTCCTTGGGGCTGACAACACGGAGCCCACTCTGCCACCTGACTCGGATGGCGTGATTTGCACTTTAATTCGTACAGGTAACTGCCAAGGGGATTGTGTTCGTATGTCTGTGTGTGTGTGTGTGTTGTGTGGGGTTTATGTATATACGACAGTATGTGCGTATGAATTTAAGTGGGTATGTATTCATAGCACTGACTGACTGACTGGAGCACACACACACAGACACATGCAGACAGACAGACAGACACACACACACACACACACACACACACACACACACACACACACACACACACACACACACACACACACACACACACCTGATACTGTAAATTTCCATCCAAATACGAATCATAAGCTTGTCCGTCTTGTTTTGTGTAAGTGAATGCCTTTGCAGACAGCACAAGGAAGACCATAAGCACAAACAACCCATAATCCTCGTTCTCTAATTTCAAAAACAGTTACACACACAAAACTGCAAATTATCTTTTGACTGAATGCACTATTTCAGCTGAACACAATTTCCATTCTGCTCTCTTGTAATATACACAGCGAATAACGCATTAAGTATAATTCAAAAACATTAACACCGAAAACTATCAATGCACCGTAAGTTTAAAAAGAGTTTTCTTGAACGAAATATTTGAAAGGAGCTTCTTGAATCATTGATGTTTCACCGACGCATCTTAAAAAATATCACTCTTTTACGACCCACTGCTTATCAACAGAAAAAAAAGCCAATACACTCGATAAAAAGGCGTTCATAACAATAAACCAATGTACACGTTTTTTTTTCTGAATGGGAACTTACCTCCCAGAAGGAGCCAGCCGAGAACGAAGGTAACCCGCATATTTCTGGTATTTTGGAACTCTCCAATGCCTTTTGTTTCTCTCCTGTCTTGGTGTTCTTCTATGCTCTCTTTCTCTTCTCTCTTCCTCAATTCCTCTTTTCTTATCAAGTTCTTCTGGTTTATTGTCTTGAGGGTTTCGAAGAATCGTACTAGCAGAGGAACTGGAAGAAGACGTTCCTCTTGGCGTAGGGAATGATAACGTTCTGACCAACTTCGTGACTTCGACTTTCTCTTATATCTGATGGCTTAGATTTTCCCCTGCCCGAGTTGCCACGTCGCGATTTGAGCGCAGCCATACAGGTAGGTGGATAGGCTTTTACAGGTAAGTCCATTTATTTTCTCTCCTTCTCTCTTTTATTATCTCTTTTCTTTTCTTTTTTTCTAACTAGTCTATGCGTATTAAATAATCCACAATAATAAAGTCGAATAAGAATGAAAGTATATCAAAGCAGGGATCCATTATGTAAAACAACAACAAAAGATAACGGAACACTGGATTTTTTCATAAGTCTTGTTATTGCGTATTTCCCCGTCCGTATCTCCCAAGGAATCGGAAATTGCGGGGATACTAGACTACACCCTCATTTTCTATGCTACCTTCCCGCCATTTTTTATTATTTCTTTGTTATTCTCACAGCGTAATATAAGCGTGGTCAAACAAAGAGGGCGAGGTGGTATTAATGTTCAAAATAAGGGGGATGTTAAGTTTTTCTTTTCATGATTATATATTTCACAGTTATTTTTCCTTGTTATTCTCAAAGTGTAATAAGCACATGATGAGAAGGAAGAGAAATCTATTTTTTTTTTATTTCGCGTTTTTTTCATGTGATGTGAGGGATTTTTACAAAAAGGCAAAAGGTAAAGAAAAAACAAACAAACAAAAAAAATTACAAAACAGGAAGTTTGTACACCTTAATTACTTCAAAAGGCCTTCACATTAACCCTTAAAACTGACCTAGAATAAATGTGTCTTAACTTCACCGTTTAATGGAGATTATCCTGACAGGAAAAATATAAGAAAACAGGAAGGCACGTCATTTCACAGAAGTGTAATAGGACACAATAAACACGTGATTAAAAATATATGTTACCTGCTTAGCGATTATAAATGTTATCTACATTACTAAATCACAGATTTGATCATCCGTTTATTGCCTCTATCTTTTTATTCATATATTTTTTTAATAAGTAAATAATTAATGTTTTTTTGAGAGACTGAACACTACTGAGACAGAGATAAGTAAAAACACAAATAGCTGAATGGATGTACAGATCGATCGATAGATGACAGAGAGAGAGGGGGGGGGGGGGGGGGGAGAGAGAAAGAAAGAGGAGGAGAAGAAGTAGAGAAGATGAAGGAGAAGGAGGAGGAGGAACAAGAGAAGAAGAGGAGAAGGGGATGAGAGATAAATGAGGATAAAAAATCAACATATGAATTAGATTTACCATATGAACACCAAATAAAAATGATAATAAAGAATAGAGAGAAGAGAAGAAAACTACGACTAATACTGATAATAATAATAACAATGATAATAATGATAATAATAATAATGATAATAATAATAATAATAATAATAATAATAATGATAAAAATAATAATTATTAAAATAACAATAATAATAATGATAATGATAATAATAATAATAAAGGATAATAATAAAAGCAATAGTAATAATAATGATACGAAAATGATTATGATAATGAATAAATAAATGAAGAGATAAATACACAAATAAATAAAAAGAACGCGAAAGAGAACAACGGAGACAATAAACGCGGAAGAAACAGGCAAGCGAAAGGAAAACGTATTTTTGACGTATCGTTTTGCCCTGAGGGTTTTCCAACGCATCAGTGACGTCATCGAGATAACACCAATATGCCTCTTTTCGCTCCTCTAATCACGCACTCTGCTTCCTGTTCCCTTCGTTGTTTATCAGAGCAGAGGGATATTTCGACCAAGAGAGAGAGAGAGAGAAAAAAAGGCGATATAGTTTGAGATGAAGAGAAAGTACCGGGGAGTCTTCAACGGTATAAAGTCATTGCGCATCGATTGAGTCATTTGTTTTTTTTTTTTCCCCGCCACTCACCCGCCGCCGCCATTACTCTCATTATTACGGCTGTCCCTTTTCATCACCTGTGAAGGTAATTGTTCGAGATGAGGTCAGGTTAAGGAGTGTTTTGCCTCGCGGGGTCAAACATCCCTCGCGGCTTGGACAGTTGACCCACCTGCCTACTCCCTCTCCCCCCCCCATTACTCCCTCTCCTCCCTACTACTTCCACCCCCCTCTCCCATTAGCCACTCCTTACACTCCCTTTCCCGCCTCTCTCCCCTCACCAATTATCGTTCCTTCTACTCCTCTTCTCCTTCCTACCCCCCTACCCCCACTTCCCTCTCCTTCCTCTTATTCTCATCTCGATCTCTCACTCCTCCTTCCTTCATCTCTCTCTTCCTCCCTCTCTCTCTCTCTCTCTCACTCCTCCCTCTCTCCTTCCATTCCTCCCCCTTACCTTCTCCCTCCTCCGTCCCTCATTCCCCTTCCCCGTCCCCCGCCCCCCCCCTCTCTCTCTCTCTCTCTCTCTCTCTCTCTCTCTCTCTCTCTCTCTCTCTCTCTCTCTCTCTCTCTCTCTCTCTCTCTCTCTCTCTCTCTCTCTCTGCTTCTCTCTCTCTCTCCCTCTCCCTCACTCTCTCCATCCCCCCTCCCTCTCACTCCCTCTCTCCCTCCCCCTCCTCCGTCCCTCCTTCCCATCCTCTCCCTCTCTCTCTCCCTCCTCCTTTCCTCTCTCCCTCCCCCTCCTCCCTTCCTCTCTCCCTCCCTCTCCTCCTCCCTTCCCCTTCTCCCTCCCCCTCCTCCCTTCCTCTCTCCCTCCCTCTCCTCCTCCCTTCCCCTTCTCCCTCCCCCTCCTCCTCCCTCCCTCTCTCTATCCCCCTCCTCCGTCCCTCCTCTCTCTCCTCCCCCTCCTCCTCCCTCCCCTCTCCCCTCTCTCTCCCTCCTTCCTCTCTCTCTCTCTCTCTCTCTCTTCTGTCCCTCTCCCTCCTCCCTCTCTCTCTCTCTCTCTCCTCCGTCCCTCCCTTCCTCCATCCCTCTCCCTCCACCGTCCCTCCCTCTCTCCCTCTTCCTTCTCCGTCCCTCCCTCCCACTCTCCCTCTCTCCCTCCTCCTCCTCCTCCTACATCCCTCCCTCCCTCTCTCTCCCTCCTCCGTCCCTCCCCCTCTCTCTCCTCCCCTCCGTCCCTCCCTCTCTCCCTCCTCCTCATTACTACCCCCCCCCCCAGGATCGTCCCAGATACAGCTGGAATATAATTGTTATAAATGACTTCGGTGTTAACAATTAGCTATTGTGATCTATTAGGTTTATAATAAGTTAAGTTCCGTACTAAGTGGTACATAATATGCATGGGTTGTGATATCGGGAAAGTAAACTATATCTAGTTTTAATTTTGGAAATATAACCCACATCTGCATAGCACAAGGCATCTAATTAAAGCAAATGCATGACTTAATAATGATATTCTTTCATACCAAAATACAACATGCAACAAATTATCTATCATAGCGTCTATCACAACATGCATAAAGCCACCTATTTTTTTTTTCTTTTTTTACATAATTTACGCTTATTTTTTACGCTTATTTTTTACGCTTAAACATGGCCTGCACATGACTCCTCTGCTAACCTGACGTTCATGAATTACGGTCGTTTGGTTATCGCGTTAAACTATTCATGACGGAGACAACAAGGTAGACATATGGGTTGTTGTTGTTGTTGTTGCTTTCTTGTTTTGTTTTTAGTTGTTGTTTTATCTTCTTTTATTGTTTTTCTTTTCTTTTTCTTCTTTTTATTATTTTTTTCTATCTTTCTTTTTATTTTCCATTACGTTTTTTAGTGTTCTGAATTTCTTTCTTTCTTCTGTTATGTGTTTCATCTTTTTCTTCTTTGACTTCGCTTTCTCCTTTTCTTTCTTATCTTACATTACCTCCTCTTTCTCTACTCTTTTTCTACTCTTCCTTCAGCTTTTCCTCTTATTCTCCTTCTTTTTCCTCTTCCTCTTCCCCCCTCCCCCCTCCTTCTAGTCCTCTGTCTCCATGTCTTTCTCTTCCTGTTACTTCACGTCCTATCCTCCTCCTCTTCCTCTTCTTCCTCATTTTGCTCCCATTCCTCCTCCTCTTTCTCTTTCTACTCCCCTCACTTTATCACCCCTCTTCCTCTTCCTCCTCCTTCACATCCTCCTCTCCCTCTTTCCCCTCCTTCTCCACCCCCCACCCCCTCTCCAGAACCCCCTCCTCCTCCCTCCCCCTTCCTCTCACTCCCCCTCTCCTCCCCCCTTCCCCCCATGAATGACGTCACGAAAGAAATCCCATGTAATCCCATGAAACGCGGATAACACATGGTCCGAATCCCACAGATGGTTCGAAGATCAAGGGGGGGAGGGAGGGGGAGGGGGGAGATGGGGATGGTATTGGACGACTGCAGGGTAGGGGGGGGGATGGGGGAGATGGGGATGGGGTTGGACGACTGCGGGGTGGGGTGGATGTGGGGGGAAGGGAGAGGGATAGGGAGTAGTAGAATGGGGGTATGAGAGAGGGGGGTGGGGGGGGGGGGGAAGGGGAAGGGAGGAACTAGGACCACCATCTGTTTCATCTACTGTTATGTATCTCCAAATTCATCATCGATTTTCTCGTTATCCAGTATTTCTCCAATTCGTGTTTTATCTTTCAGGTTAATAACTATGAATATAACGAGAATACGAAAAACGGAAGAAGGAGTGAATGTAACGAGAGAAAGAGACAAAAGATAAACGAGAACATATTGAAGCGAGGAAGGGGGTTACTGGGTAAGAGAACATGAGAAATGAAGGGTGTGAGGAGCTGAGGTACGGGGAGGAGAGGGGCAGGGAAGGGGAGACTGAAAGATCGGAGGGGGGGGGGGGGGGGTATAGGGAGAAAGGGAGGAAGGGATCTGGAGGGAGGGAGGGAGGGGGGGAGGTAAGTAAGGAGGGAGGGAGGGGGTATGTACGGAAGGAGGGAAGGGGGTAAGGAGGGAGGGAGGGGGGGGGGCGTACGAAAGGAGGGAGGGTGTATAGAGAGAAGAAGAGGGGGTATAGAGAGAAGGGGAGGGGGGAGGGGGAAAGGGAGGGGAGGAGGGGGTGGCGGCATGTGGTTTATGTGTCATCATGAGGATTACAGAGAAATATGATGACGATGGATC